ATATTTATTTTAGATTTAAATATTATTAGAATAATAATAATAAATTTTTTATAGAATTAATTCTAAATTAATAAAATTATTATTCATAATAATCATAAAATACGCAATACCTCCTAATCTACATAAATTTTCCATAAATCGATTATATAATTTTACCAATTAAATAATATTATTATTAAATATTTATTTAATATTTTAATTATATTTATTTATATTTTATAAACATCATAATATAATTTAAATTTTTTATATTTTCTAAATTCAAAGAAATTTTATAATTAATTATTATTATTTATTTTTTTTTTTTCAAAATTATTAATTAATCAATCCTTCGTCATTATAATTATTAATTTCTAAAATAAAATATACAATAATAATTTTCCAATTTATTTAAAAACAATAATATTTTATATAAACAATATTTTTTTTAAAAAACATCAATATAATAAATATAATCAATATATTAATTATATATAAATTATTTATAATATTTATTCATAATAATTTATTATTTTTATATTTATTAATAATATATATATTTATTTCAAATTAATTAATAATTTATTTTTTTAAATATTTATTAAAATTATAAATTTAATTTAATTCTAATATATTATAATTTTTTAAATTATTTATATTTATTATTATAATTTAATAATATATTTTGCATAATATTTTCTTTTTAATATATAATAATTTTTTAAATTAATATTTATTTTTATATAATTACATAATTAATTTAACTAATATGTATTTGTTTTTAAAAAAATATTATTAATATTAAATCCTAATTTATCTAAAAAAAAAATATTATTATATTTTTATTTTTTAATTTAATTCCGAATTTATATAAATAATTAAATAATATTATTATTATATATATTTTATCATATCCAATTTAAATAACTAAATAAATATATTTTAATATTTTTAAAATTATATATATATATATATTTTTTTTTCATAAATAATATTAGTCCTAAATAATATATTTAGAAATAATTTCATTATCAATAATACCGCGCAAGGCGGTAGCGGAAATTTCAAAAATAGGAAATCTATAGGAGAGATTGGCTGTCGTAAATCAGGGATGGCAGAGCGAATCCATTAATGGACCGAAAAATGCTTGAGGTTTCCTCTCTTTCTCTCTCTTTTTCTAATTATCTATTTACCTATCAACCTATCTTTTCGGTATCTATCTATCTATCCATCTATCTCTCCCTCTTTCATCTGTTTAGCTGTCTACCTATCTACCTATCTATCTATCTACCTGTCTATCTGTGGTGCAGTGTCATTCAGTGTAATGTAGTGTAGTGTAGTGTAGTAGAATGTAGTGTAGTGTAGTGTAATGTAGTGTAGTGTAGTGTAATTTGGTGTAGTGGAGTGTAGTTGTGTAGTCGTAGTTGTAGTTGTAATGTAGTGGAGTGTAGTGTAGTGTAATGTAGAATTGTAGTGGAAGGTAGTGTAGTGTAATGTAGTGTAGTGTAGTGGAGTGTAGTGTAATTTAGTGTAGTGGAGTGTAGTGGAGTGTTTTGTAGTGGAGTGTAGTTGTGTAGTTGTAGTTGTAGTTGTAGTTGTAGTGTAATGTAGTGGAGTGTAGTGTAGTGGAGTGTAGTGTAGCGAAGCGATATCTGAACCTCCAAAAGTAGCGCAAACATGTTGTCTTTTGTACATTTTAACTTCGAAATATGCTTCGCACCACAACGGCGTGCACTTTTTCGAGATCTGAACCTCCAAAAGTGGTCCGAATGGTGCGTTTTGTACATTTTGACTTCGAAATGTGCTTCGCGCCACAACAGCGTGCACTTTTTCGACATCTCAACTTCCAAAAGTAGTCCGATAATGGTGAGTTTTGTACATTTTGACTTGGAAATGTGCTTCGCGCCACAACGGCATGCACTTTTCAACATCTCAACTTCCAAAAGTGGTCCGATAATGGTGAGTTTTGTACATTTTGACTTGGAAATGTGCTTCGCGCCACAACGGCGTGCACTTTTTCGACATCTCAACTTCCAAAAGTGCTCCGAGACCCAGGTGTTTTGTACCTTTTCCCTTGGAAATGTCCTTCGCGCCACAACGGCACATTCACAAGTCAAAATGTTAAACACACCAGGGTTCGGACCACTTTTGGAGGTTCAGATATCGCTTCGCGTGGCAGGCGCAAGGGATTTTGTACCTTGTCAAAAGTAAGCAAAACGTGAGGGTTTTGAAGCATTTTCAAGTACAACCACCACTACACCAGACTACACTCCAATACATTACACTCCACTGCATTACACTACAACTACAACTACAACTACACAACTACACTACACTGCAATCAATTTCACTCAATTACACTACACTACACTACATTACGCTACACTACACTCCACTACACTACATTACACTACACTACCTTCCACTACACTTCACTACATTACACTACACTACACTCCACTACACTACATTACACTACACTACATTACACTGCATGACACTGCACCACAGATAGACAGGTCGACAGATAGACAGATAGACAGATAGATCGATAGATAGATAGATGGATGGATGGACAGGTAGACAGCTAGACAGATAGACAGATGAAAGAGAGAGAGAGAGATAGATTAGATGGATGGATGGATGGATGGATGGATAGATAAGATAGATAAGATAGATAAGATAGATAAGATAGATAAGATAGATAAGATAGATAAGTAAGATAGATAAGATAGGTAAGATAGATAAGATAGATAAGATAGATAAGATAGAAAAGATAGATAAGATAGAAAAGATAGATCAAATAGGTAAGATAGATAAGACAGATACGATAGATAAGATAAATAAGATAGATAAGACAGATAAGATAGATAAGATAGATAAGATAGAAAAGATAGAAAAGATAGAAAAGATAGATAAGAAAGATTAGATAGATAGATAGATAGATAGATACATAGATAGATAGATAGATAGATAAGATAGATATGATAGAAAAGATAGAAAAGATAGATAAGATAGATATGATAGATAAGAAAGATAAGATAGATAGATAGATAGATAGATAGATAGATAGATACATAGATAGATAGATAGATAGATAAGATAGATATGATAGATTAGATAAGATAGATATGATAGATAGAAAGATAGATAGATAGATAGAGATAGATAGAGATAGATAGATAGATAGATAGATAAGATAGATAAGATAGATAGATAGATAGATAGATAGATATAGATAAGATAGATAAGATAGATAAGATAGATAAGATAGATAAGATAGATAGAAAGATAGATAAGATAGAAAGATAAGATAGATAGGTAAGATAGATAAGATAAGATGAGATGAGATGAGATGAGATAAGATGAGATAAATAGATAGATCTATAGATAGATAGGTAAATAAATTGATAGATAGATAGATAAATAAATAGATAGGTGATTGGGTGGATGGATGGATGGCTTTATAATTAAATAAATAGCTAAATAAATAAATAATTAGGAATTTAGATAACTAGATTATATAGGTAAATAAATAAATAAAGAGATTAATAGATGGCTAGACAGATAGGTTAATAGGTAGGTAGGTAGATAATTAGAGAAAAATAGAGAAAAAGGGAAAAAAGAGATTAACTGTTTTTTAATTTATTTAGTACCTTTTAATTTATTAGTGACTTCGGTCTACTATCCTTGATTTATAATAACGAACCTCTCCTATAGATTTTCTATTTTTGAAACTTCCGCTACCGCCTTGTGCGGTACTATTGATAAAAAAAAAATAAAATATATTATAAAATATCTTAATAATATTTAATATAAAATAATATTTAATTAATTTTTTAAAGAAATAGATTATAAATAGTCCGAATTATTGGATAATTTTTTGTTTCCCTTTCCTTTGTATATTTTTTTTTAATTTTCTTATTTCCCAGCTGCCAGGTGAGGGTTATTAGATTTTATTAGAAATGTTCTCCTTCTCGGCTAGCTGTCCTCCTCCTCCTCCTCGTCCTTCAATTTCTCCTCGACCATATTTAAATCATCTTCTACCTGAACTTCTGTCATACCAACTCTTCGCCAGCTCAATATTTACCGCTGGACCTCAACGTATGCACCGCTGGACCTCAACCGGGGACCTGCCCAGCTCAGTATTGGACCTCAATCTGGGACCTTCCTAGCTCAGTGTGCACCGCTGGACCTCAACCTGGGACCTGCCCAGCTCTGTGTGCACCGCTGGACCTCAACGACCAGATAGAATGTCAGAAAAAATACCAGATAGAATGTTAGATAGAATACCAGAAGATATGCCAGATAAACTGCCATGAAATATATCAGATAGAATACCAGAAGATATACCAGATAAAATGTTAGTAGATATGCCAGATAGAATGCCAGAAGGAATGCCAGATAAAATATTAAATAAGATATTAAATAAAAGGACAAAAAATATATCAGATAAAGTGTCAGAATATTTGCCAAATAGAAGGCCAGAAGATATGCCAAATAAAGTGTCAGAATGCTTATCAGATAGAATGCCAGAAAATTTGCCAAATAATATGCCAGATGGAATACCAAATAGGATATCAGAAGATATGCCAGAGCATGTCAGAAGATATGTCAGGTAAAATGCCAGAAGATATGCCAGATAGAATGCCAGATCGAATACCAGAAAATATGTCAGATAGAATCTCAGAAGATTTGCCAGTAAGAAAACATATAAATTATCTATCATGATGGGAATGATTCGAAATAAAAAACTATTTATCATTCTATTTATTATTTATTTTGATATTTTATCTGGCATATCTTCCAGTATTTTATCTGATATATACCTTGGTATTTTATCTGACATATATTTTGATATTTTATAGGGTATTTTTTAAAATATATATTTTGGTATTCTATGAAATGTAACAATCTACCTATGATGGCTCGGCACAAGCGTGTTTTAGATTGGTTTAGGAGAAACATTGCAGGAAACCCGCACCTTTTGAGGAGAAAAACCTGGTTTGCTGTAGATTCTCCCGTGAACCAATCCAACGATGTCTTCATTCGAGCAGAGTCGAACATTTTTTTCCACGCAAAAAATTCTGCACCAGATCCTGGCTGCTGGCTGCAACATGGGCTCCTTGAAGACATAAACGAGAAATGAACATGGCTCAAAGTAAGTGAGCATAAATGATCATCTATCCCATTCCCGCAATACCAAACACATCCAAACACCCAGCAAATGGTCCCAACCGAGTGTAAAGCCCCTGCTAACCCATGGTGTCTTGGGGGGGTTTGATATTAGGGGAAAGGATTAATGCACATGTTGTTATAGCAGCAGTGCATCTTTTTGGGTCGCCGGGACCCGGGACCAACCTGCCTTGTAGAGAATTTCATTCTCCCGTAAGGGCTTTGGCGGCCTGATGCATTTTCTGATTGGGTCGACTCAAGGGAAACATGCAACTCGACACCATGGTTTTACCATCCCAGCACGAAGCTTTCCAGTCAATTCCCCATCAAACCAATCCTGGAATTCTGAGGTCAGTGACGTGCGGGGAACAGAAAACTTCACCCATGAAGTGTCAGTTTCTGTACCCAACAGGCCGAACCAACTAAGGTATCAATGGTGCTTCAAATCTGCGTTTCTACCTAGCTTACCCTCTAGCAATGAAATCTGGTAATGGAACATCGCCAATTTCCGGATGATGATTTCCCAGTTTGGACGAATGGTCAATAGATTGGTTTGAAGGAACATCTTCCAGAAACCACCGCTCTTTCATTTTTTCCACAAAATATGATTGTTTCCAAGACTTTTTTGCCCCGAAAAAACCAATCTATTGAACTGGTGGTTTTCCCTTGCCAGGTCGTCCGGGAGATGTCATATGGGTTCGTCTTCCCGGCGCGCCATGGTGTGTTTCTTGATCACCCTGGAACCATGTTCCGTCATTTTTGGAAAGTATGGCCTGGTATGACTCTTTTTCACTCATGCCCAGCTATCATATTGTTGGTTATATACCAAAGACACCTGTAAAATGGCTAGGATGTCACATGATGGTTACAAAACATCCAGTCAAATTAAACATTCCTTGCTTCAACCAATAGATCGAGGTTGCTCTATGGTTCTCCCAACACCTGGGTAGATAAAGAGGTAGCATTGGGGCAATCCTGTTGATTGGTATCATCATTTTGCGCAGCCTCCGGTACACTAATTTGCTATGGACAGTTACCATTTTCAACAGGTAAAACACCTATGGCTCCACGACCATTTTCAATAGCCATAGATAAACTATACCCTCTGCTACCCCCGGGTAAACTAACATAACTATGGAAAATCACAATTTTTAATGGGTAAATCAACTATTAATGGCCATTTTCAATGTTTACCAGAGGGTAAATACCCTTATTATCGGAACCTATTCAGTTGTGAGCTCTCCGCCTCGAACACATCCCAAAATGACGTGCTTCGATCTCTGCCTCCACCTGCGTGGAACCGTTTGGAGCCGGTTCGATTTCCAGTGGAGAGATGGCAATTTCCAGTGGAGTTATGGAAAATCACCGTTTTTAATCAGTCAATACAAGATAACACAAGTATATCTGGTTGGTGGTTTTAATATGTTTTAACCATCTTGAAACAATATAAGTTCGTCAATGGGAAGGATTATCCCATACATTATGGAAAATAAAACATGTTCCAAACCACCAACCAGATATAAATCAATATAAATCATCCATGAATGTTTCATTTTCCATAGCTATGTTAAATTACCAGAGGGTATATTTGAAAAAGGGTGCGTGTACCTTCATACAAAAAATCTGACTCGGAAAACTGATGAACGATAGCAGGACTTTGGGGCACCCAATTTTCAAACAAACCTGGTTGGTGGTTTCACCCTCGAAAAGGGTGGAAAATCCTAGCCAGAATTGAACAGGAACAGCATCCTTCTCATTTTGTTTCAGTAGTTGGCTATGCTATGTATAACATACATCAACATTAAAGGCAGTTATAGGTCAAGTCTTGGTTTGTTGAATTGACGTAGTAAATCCCCACACTTTGATAGGTTCATATTTCTCAACCTCAGATTTTGTCGGTTCCAGACTAATTTTTCCGGTCAAAGTCAACGTACAGTAATCATTGAATCGCCTAAAAGCGCAATCGTATACATACATATATACATAGCATATATATATATATCACAACTTAAATATGTTGCTGGTAACATATTTCATCCTTGACCAAATGGTCTTCCCTTAAAAGAAAACATACCAATCATTTGGATGATAACTTGGGTTCACACATTAGTTAAGAAATCCGTGTATCTCATCATGTCCCCATTGCATCCTATGTATTCTCCTTATCGTGATCATCGTCATCAATTTTCAAAAACAAACATGATTAAATAAAGAACACTTTATCCCAGAATGGAGCTTCTTGCTAATTTCCATCATGCTGGTTGATGAAGCACCTCCCCAGGCCAGCTGAAACCTGCGGATGGTCGTGTAAAATCTTCAGAGGCACAACCAAGAAACGTCCAGCATCATCCAAGTGTTCCTTAACAGTGCTCCGGTGAAGACACATGGATTTTCATGAGTTCACCGCCCGGGACAGGAGTCGGCTGGCTGGATTGGGGCTGGATCGGGGCTGGATCAATAGGGGCTGGACCGGGGCTGGATCGGGGCTGGATATGATGCAGCCTGATTCAGCCTGATCCAGCCCCGATCTACTTTTGGTGATCTACTTTTTGGGTTCTTGGATCTACTTTTTGGAGATATGATTGGGCAAGCTGCTGTGCCCAAAGTAGAATCATCATTGTTCAAAATCCGAGAGGCAACTTTTTTGATCCTGGTTGGTTAAGAATGGGATTCCCATGTCTTGGATGATGACAATCCCCAATACAATGACATTGTGATACATTGGTTTTGAAACGCTGCTCGCTTGGATACCTGTCCCGATAAATGGTTTCCTAGTCATTTACAACCCATGTATCTAATTCAGAATAGTCCATGCATAAGTGGAGTACAGTATGCTTCGTACTATATGATTGGGATTCAGCCGTAAATGGGGATTGAGATTGTGATACATACCAGCAATGGTGCAAGGTGGTGGCCCCCCCAGCTATAAATAGGTTATAAGCCCATTAACTATAGATATATCACCAACAAAAACCATAGTTATTGGAGTTATGTTCACCAACTTAGCTATCGAACGGGGGCACCACCTTGTGGATTTACCTGCAAAACAAATAGCAGTGGGGATATGAGTCGGTTCATTGCCGTTAAGGAAGCAAAATTGTGGACTTACCCTTTGGCTATGACTAACATAGCCATGGTAGAGCCATGGCCCATAGAAATAGATGGTTTACCGAAATTAAAAATGGTGGATCTTTCCATGGCTATGTTAGTCATGAACAGAGGGTAATTACTAATGACATGGTGGTAAAACATGCAAATGATGGATGGTCCAATCTTGGGTCACCTATGCTGCATAAATCCTATTGGTATATCCATATCATAACTCCTTCAAATGTTTGCTTGTAGTTACACTAAAATGGACATCTTAACTGCTAAAAACGGGGTTTCTACAGAAATCATGGGATAGAACGGAGTGCCTCCAGAAATGATTGATCCGCTTGTGCAGTCATTTCTTATGGCCATGCCACTTGAGCCTATGTTCTACGTCAAACCTGGGTCTTAAATCTTTTGGGTCTGTTCAATCTAAGCATTCCCTAAGGATATCAGATCCCAAACATGTCCCCTCTGGTAAACGTTTACGTAACTATGGCAAGATCCACCATGCTATTCATGGAAGTAAATCCACTATAAATGTCTATAAATCACCATTTTCAATAGCTTTTTGTATGTTTACCCGAGGGACTATTTCTATGGCCACGGCTTCAATAGCTTCTAGTAAACGTTTACCAGAGGGTAATGGGACAATGATTCATAAACCGCCGGATTTTGGAGTACTCCCGGTGAAAAACACCGGCTCAGTGGAAGATTACGGTGCAGGGTCCCGGAAACCCGCAGAAAACACACACCAAAGTGAACAAATCCAATGCTAAACTACAGTTTCTAGGGATATTTTCATATTGGAAGTATACAATCCATCCAAGGTAAAGATTCTCCTAGGGATGGGTGGTGTTTCTAGGGTTTCTGTTGCTAAGTATACAGAACTTGACAACCCAACTACCATCCCAACCTTTCAAGGCACCACCCGGAGCAGTACACGATCTCCTTCTTTGAGGCGTTTCGAGTTCAAGAGCTCAGAGCACATCCCGGAGACTTCGCCTTATAGCAATCCCTATCTGATCCTATCCCACACCATCTTTCCACGACTTGAATCTGGATATATAAGTTATGATCAGTTGGAGTTCAAGATTCCCCCACCATTTGAGGATTTCCGAAACCATGCCTGTGTCCAAACTGCGGTAATCCTGACCAGTCATCGATCATGGTAGCATTCTGATTTTGATTTTACAGCCAATTCTAAATCTTGGGCCGTACGGACAAATGAAACCTGGACATTGTTGAACATCACCGGGGAATACCGGGCAGCAATGTAGCCTTGGGGCTGATGTCCTATCAAATCTGATTTTGATTCCACATCTTATATCGATTATCTAGTCATTTTCAAGCAATTAAATCTGATTATGGCCAGTATCCGATATCCTGTCTATATAAATAGCTTTATCATTTTCCATTTTTTCCAACAAAACAACCAGCCTGGACCAAGGCCCCGCGCAATAGAAATCAATGAAGGCCACCCCATGCTGCACAGAGACCACGATACCTTCATGCTCTCCTGACGGATGATCCACGGTGAACCCAGAATTGATAGAGAAAAATGGGGATCTCACATGTTTCGTTGGATTTTGACATATTTTCTACAGGAAACCCAAGGTGAGATGGTTTTTCCCAGCAATGTTGGTGGTTTCACAACACAATTCAGTTTGAACCAAGAAAAGTGATGGCTCTAACCAATCAGTATCAATCAGTGGTCACCAGCAATCTATCAACGAAATGGGGATATCACATAATCTTAGCTGGTTAAAAGGAGGGATTTCCCAACAGTTTCGGCTTTAACCAGCTAACAAATATGCGAACCCTGAGGCTATTTCCAAAAAAAATGCTAGACCGACTGGTCAATGGAAATTGGGGTAAGCAACCATCAAGCGGGGATGCCAAACAAAAAACAACGGCTTTAACCTGTCATTTCCTCATTTTCCTGTGACAATATGTAATGTATATATGTCCCTGTGGGTTTGGTCTCAATGATCTTCCAAGCCTCTGTTGCGTTCCGTCTGTTCCATCTTAAATTTCGAGGGCTGTTACAATGGAAAAAACCACGAACAAACGAGCAAACCGCTTGGAGGCGTGTACGCGCAAACATAGCTGCTGAAATTCACATGCAACGAAATGAACTTATGAGACCAATGAGGCTTAAACATCACAATAGAATATCTACGCATGTCTTGCATTCGACATTGGAACTGATGATGGGGTATACCCTCAGATACGGCTATTAGATGCCATTAGAACTACGGAAAATAGGACTTTGGGGGTGCTGCTAATTTGTTGGTTTTGCCCCTGGTAGCTATTGTCTTTTCCACTCTTCCATCGTGGAGTAGACCGACAAACAAGTGGACCATCCAAAAACTGAACTGCGGGATTGTTCCCATATCACGCTGGCTACAAATAGATTCAGATGCAGAGAGCAGGGAATTTACCAGACCAATAGAGCAGCAACTAAAACCTTCTTCTTCAAACTTCCCTGGTTGGTTGATAGAATTAAGGGTGGACTACGACCATCTCCATCGAGCCAGCCAGTAAAACCTGAATTCTCAGCATCATGTCTTGTTTAGATCCCAAAAATCACATTTTTATGGCTGGCGAAATCCTCATTCCTGCTTGTGTAGATGTCATCATCTTAAGTCTCAATTTGTGACTGTTGAATCCGTATTTTTTCAAATAATTGTGCAACAAGGATGTTGGCACTTTGAGCTTTGCAATGTCAACCCCGGATTAATAAACCATGGTTTATTAATTAGGGGGGTATTCCCCCAATAGTCATGATTTGATACTTTTTCATGGTACCTTCCCAATTAAACAGCCGTAAACGGGGTTTATTAATCCAGGCTTGACATCCAAATCCACGCCTCGACCAACGTCATCGATACTCAAGCGACGCTGTGGGTCCTGGGCTTCGACACCGACTGGGAGGATGCAAAGGCTAAAACTGGGATCGAACCAGCAACATGCAAAATTTTGCCCAGATGAACGTCAACTGGATTTTTCACAACTGGCAACTTTGATCAATTCAGAAGTATAACTAGCACTGTTTCGGCAAGTGGATTTTTTTCAACGTGGGGATCCCACCTTGCAAAACATGGACACGGACATGGGGAAATTTCTCGCCAGCAAACATCAGGATTTGACCTCACCAGGTACTGGGCTATCTGGGTTGGCTGCAAACTGCACCATGAATAAAGATTAGTATAAAGTATATACATTATATATATGGCTGCTTGCCATTGATTACCATTGTGAATGTTTAAACTGATTCAAACTCAGCATGGTAAAATTTGGGAAACAATCCAATTCTCCTCCCAAACTTTTTTTGAACTAACATGGAACCGCAGCACAATGGGGTGTGCAAGATGAATTTGCGGTGCTATTTGAAACACTCTGCTCCCAAAGTGCTATGCCACCACAATCTGACCTATGTGCACCCACCCATTCGTAGACATCCATAGACCTCAATTAGATCCGATGAACAAAAACATCGTTTTCAAACAACGATTCTCTCACTATACCCTCAACCCCCCAAGGGCCCATTTTTACCGGTGAACTCCTCATTTTTGCATAATTTTTACCGTTGCAGATTGCCATAGATTGCCTATTTGCCACAGTCATCCCTTGGGATGGACTTCAGCTTAGGTAACAAACTAGATATCAAACAAAAACATCCATGATCATGGTAAGAAAAAACACAATTTTTACCATTTCTGCTGCTTGAATCCCTTTCATTGGTGAAACATTGCCAATCTTAGATACCCTGCAAAAAATTAAATTCTTTGCTGGTTAGTAGATATTCCCATTAATACCAAAAGACTAAAGGATTAAAGTATCCATGTAAGATTGGCCTAGGAAACAACATCCCGTTTGCCGTCCCACAAAGAGCACGCGTCCCGGTCACCCTGATCCTACAGATATGGCACCGGCAGCATGCCCAAGGAGATCCGGCCGCCCTCCAAATTGCGCCGCCGCGCGAAGACTTCCACGACGTCGCCTTTGGACAACTCCCGCGTCCTGCCGAGGACTGGCATGGTTTGGGACTTCCGAAGTGGATCGTGCTTAAGAATTGGTGGTTTCTGAAAATGATAAAATGGAGATTCCCCAAAACCAACAGTTTTCAATGTTAAAATGGTCTATATCATTTGGGTGATTCAGTCAAAATATCACTATTACAACAACAACAACAACTACTACATCTACTACATCTACTACATCTACTACATCTACTACATCTACTACATCTACTACACCTACTACATCTACTACACCTACTACATCTACTACACCTACTACATCTACTACATCTACTACATACAACTACTACAATGGAAGCGGCGACGGCGACTGCTACTACTGCTACTGCTACTACCACTTGAAGCACGAGTCTTTCTGTTCCAAGCGGCTACTGGTGACTTGTCCACCACCGGGAAATTCTTCTGCAACTGTCCTTTCACTATGGTTATTTCACATATAATATACATATATATATAATATATATATATATACTAATATTGTATAATAATATAAAATATATACGTAGATAGATAGATAGATAGATAGATAGATAGATAGATAGATAGATAGATAGATAGATAATGATAGATAGATAGATAGATAGATAGATAGATAGATCGATAGATCGATAGATCGATAGATCGATAGATAGATAGATAGATAGATAGTTAGATAGTTAGATAGATAGATAGATTGATAGATAGATAGATAGGTAGATAGATAGATAGATAGATAGCCAAGTTTTGCCCAAATATATGCTCATAGTATCGGACGAAAAAACACATCTTCCATATTGATTCGTATTTTAACTGTCATTAGCTTGAAATTAACATTTTCAGCATCAGCATCATCATCATCATCATCACCATCACCATGATGGTCAAAAATGGTCTGTAAGAGGTCAGAACATTCCTACCATAATTCCAAAATTCACCCGACTAAATGCCCCAAATAGTTTTTTCCCCACCTGCCAGGTGAGGGTTGTTGTTAGATTTTATCAGAGTTGTTCTCCTCCTTCTCCTCCTCCTCCTTCTTCTCCTTCTCCTCCTCCTCCTTCTCCTCCACCACCTCTGCCTTCACTTCCATGTCCACTTCCGCCTTGCCAACTCTTCGCCAAGCTCTTCGCAAACTTCTGCACGCAGTGGCCATTGCTGGACCTCAACTGCAAGGGTCTGAGCGCACTGGGCACCGCTGGACCTCAACCTGGGACCTTCTGAGCTCAGTGAGCACCGCTGGACCTCAACCTGGGACCGTCCGAGCTCAGTGAGCACCGCTGGACCTCAACCTGGGACCCTTCGAGCTCACTAAGCACCGCTGGACCTCAACGGCCAGATAGAATGCCAGAAGATATGCCAGATAGAACGCCAGATAGCACGTCAGATAGAATGCCAGAAGATATGCCAGATAAAATGCCAGAAGGTATGCCAGATAAAGTGCCAGAATGTTTGCCAGATAGAATGCCAGATAGAATGTCAGAAGATATGCCAGAAGATATGCCAGATAGAGAGCCAGAAGATATGCCAGAACATATTGCAGAAGATATGCCAGGTAGAATGCCAGAAGATATGCCAGATAGAATGCCAGAAGATATGCCAGATAAAATGCCAGAAGATATGTCAGATAGAATGCCAGAAGATTTGCCAGTAATAAAACGTATGTCATGGTGGGGATAACTCGAAGTAAAGTAATTTGTTCTTTAAATCGCACTTTTATCTTTTTTTTTGGGACACGATCCAAACAAAATTGCTAGTTTACGCAATTCCTCGCCGGACACCACGCCATGCGGTATGTGTCCTCTCATTGCCGCGTTCCCTGCGGCCGAGGCGGCCCAAAAGCTCGCAACCCAAATCCACGTAGGCGCCCACCTCTGAAATACTCGCCACCATACCTGGTCGAAATCATATGTACGGTTTTCCAAAGAGAAGCCAAAAATCTACAGGAAAATGGTTGGTCTTACAAGGGAAAATCCGGTTTTTGACAATTAATCATGAACCTTACAAATTGTCCTGCTTTTACTCTTGGAACCCAAAAATGCCGTCTGAATAGGAACTTTTTGATGGGGCTGTAAATTTGCTTCTTGATCCCGTTGGTCGTTCATTCCGGCCTACCTTTCGTTTACTGACTACAGAAAGTGCCACAGACCAATGGGCAAAGGATATCGCTGGGCCTACGAGTAAGAGTGGCAGAAGTACCTAGCAACAAACCGCCTGGTTTGATTTCTAGCCCATTATTCAGTCACTTGTGAGTCGGTCATTCCAAACAGGGATTTACCGGCTGGGAGCCAACTGATGGAAAAAATTGGGACACCTGGTGCCTCTATTTGTGGACCAGCCAGTGGGAATAGGGCATCTATTCAAAAGAGTGGAGGAAATGCCCCACGAACAAGAGTTCAGTTGATATCTTGACCCCATCCCACAAGTCTTTTGGTCGTTCACGGTTGGGCCGTGCCAACTAGGAATCGGACAATGCAAATGTGAAGCTTTAAACCGCGAGGAGGAGCGAACATGGTTGAGAATGAAGCAATCGATTGAGCCTTGCCGCACGATCTGCTTCTTCCCCCCCGCACCATTTCAACGAAAAGAAGCTGCTGGGGGTGACGAAGCGTGCAGAATACGGACAACAACTATCAACTCTACTGGAGGAACTCCACGCCCAAAAATGTCTTTCCAATATGCTTTCCCATCAGAAGCCCCCATGTCCCCCAGCGTATCCCAGGTACCCACGAGTGGAGTTACTCCATCTACTGGTAGCAAGTGCAGCGGCATGCCCTGTTGGGGCCTGGGCTCCAAAGCCACATGCACTCTCCCTGTAAAACCTGAGCGGGGCTGGGAGGTGGTTCTCACCAGAAACTCCGAAGAAATGTTTTACTTGACTGTCCTATCCTCAGATACGGAGGGTTTCAAGTTTCTTTTTCCTCTAAGCCAAGCCCAGGAACCGCAGGACAAGTTTTTTTCGCCACAGCCATTTGGAAATTTGTTGCTTCTGCTCTGGTCATCCGATACTGTTTGGCTCTTGTCAAAGAATCTCTGATGGTCAAACTCCAAATCTGTCTTTTGGAAAAAAATGCTTGCCAGTGGTCTCCCAGCGAATCATTTACAGGGAAGGCACAGCTCTTTGACCAAACGTACACTGTGACCTTTGCACCGGCACGCAGCCTCTACCAGAAGGGCAGGTGCACCCTTCTGGACGACAGGGAACTGGGCAACCATGGTTCGAAAACAGAACAAGTTCAGGTTGAAACAAGATTCAAGGATTGGATCAAAACCTGTCTTGTAGTTCCATTACTCATGCGATACATTGTGGATTCCATCAGACACATTCAATCTTTGAGAACTGCCATGGTGCTGATGCCTTGGAATAAGGCATCAGTGAATTCAAAACCGCCAGCCCAAGCAACCGCTTCATCATGTCTCCCGGGTGAAATCCAAGGACAGCCCGGCCTCTCTTCAGGATCTGGCACTGGACGGAGCAGGGCCTGGGAAAAAAAGCTCGGTTCAACCGAAAAACATTTGGAATTCGGATGGGTCAAAAATTGAACTTTGCAATGCCACCCATGTTGCTCATGTCTATTCGATATTAGTAAGGCATCAACCAACTATATGGTTGGCGAAAGAACCATCCACCCCAAACTGCGCATGTAACTAACAATTCTTGGGGGCATCCACCATACTAGACACGGCATCCACCTTTAATACTAGACAGAGTATCCACGATTGCTAGACAAATTCACACAACAAAACTGGGGGAGATTACCCATCCAAAAATATGCTCGATGCAAATTTCCTGGAATAACCATCCTACTATGTTTCGATCAGTTGTTTATCCCGGCAGTTGGGTTCTCAGAGGGTAAGGTGAACTACCAACATGACGAAAAAAACGAACCAAACAGGCACTTTACCAGTACCATATTGTAACCTTCGTCCATGTCTTGTCCATTGATGTGGGCACCATTCATCAAGGCTTTCCCAGATATATTTGCCATATAATATAATATATATATATACATATAAATATACATATACATGCGTATATATGTGTATGTATACATATATATATATGTGTGTGTGTGAATATGTATACGCAGATAAATATACTACAGTATATCTATCTATATCTATCTATATCTATCTATCCGTTCAACATAAATGCACAAACATGCTGCATTTGTTGGTTGGACTCATGAAAAATCAACACCTTTGCTGGCTCAAATTCCCGCTTCCCATTCCAAGGTAGATTTCCCACAGCCACATCTCGCTGCCATGGCACCGCCACAGGCCCTTGCCTTGTCATAGCAACCTGTGGCAGCTCCTCTTTGGGCAGCAGCAATCCTCTGGCCGACGCTGGTGATGTGAGTGAAGGACAAGCTTGGACGGAAGCACCAAAGAACAAACAGTGGCTCATGTGGGTCCCCCCAAAAAAATTGGAAAAACCAAAAGGTGACAAAGATGATGTTTCCTCCACATTTTCCCCGTTTCCAACATTTCTACTTATTTGGGGTTTCATTTACCCTAATACCGGCCCTAAAAACCCTGAAAATCATCCACGACTCATTGAAGAACAGCCATGATAGATTCACAGTAATGATCATTGGGACTTTCTGGCATGTTGATGGGGACAATGTGAAACACATATGTTCATGATTGAATGGAAATAAAACGGGTATCCAACTTTCAACAAATGTGGTATTCTCAGAGTAAACAAGTACAGGAAGAGGAACACGGGGATGTGCATCCCATTTTGTTATTGAGCAGTGGGGATCAAAAGAGTTGCAAACGTTGGAAAACCAAGATTGTCTCAATAGGTTAAGATACACCAAAATATACCAAAATTACATCTAATTATACATATATCGTATGTATAAATATAAATAATTATATAAGATAAATGGCAAAATAAGGACTCCATGTTTGAATTCAAAAGATATTTCGTGTTCCAAGTGGCTCACTCCTTCATGGCCTAAAAGCCCAATCTTCCCTGGCCTGGCACTTCACAGCCAATGTCCACCAGGGTGCCAGACTCGTTTCGTCGCATCACCACGCCTTGAGGAAAATATGGCATCCCTTCCTCCCTAACATAAATCAATGGATTGGTTTAAGGGAAAAAATGCAGGGAAACCCCACATGTAATGCGAAAATCTATGGTTTCCGGTTCAGATTTTCCCTCAAGCCAATCCATTGAAGAAACCAAAACCTGTATAAACCTTGGTTTTGTATCGGATCTGCTCACTTTGGGGTGCTGTACCAGGGATATATCATCTAATCAAAGCCCAGCTCTAGGGGTTCCGGATCTTGACCCAGTGCATGTTCGTTGGACCAACTGACACCCAGTTCTTTGTTTCGTTGTCATATCCAAGACTCTGGTTGGATACACCATGTATGAGTTAATATCGCATTTTCGTAGATTGTGTCCAACTATTTACACATCTATTTCTTTTTAGTAAGCTTTTGTAAATTGCATGTCTATTGAACAACTCTTCCATTTGATCCCATTTTTGTTCCGCACACCAACTCTGTCTGCTGATAGGAGGTTCAAAACGATAGATACGCCATCCCCATTTTTTGTTTTGGAATGTTTTGGCCAGGGGCATGCTGTATACTGTATAATGCTGTTTGTCATGTAGAATGGCCCCTACATAGCTGCTTGCTAGGATCGTTTCATTGTTCACTGTGGATCCCCTCTGGTAAACCAACGTAACTATGGAAAACCACCATGCTATTAATGGGAAGTTAACTATTTCCATAGTTATGTTAGTTATTACCAGAGGATAAACCCCAAATCTTGTCCTGATGCTTTGGATTTGCTGATCCGGAGGTCGGAAAAAGTCCACTATACTATAACTCCCGTGGGAAAAATTAGGCAAATCCAAGACCCACCAATGGTTGAAAGTTGTACATCACATCTATAACTGGTTGGTGGTAAACTAACCATCTTGAAAAAATATTAGTCAATGGGAGGGATTATCCCATATATCATGAAAATGTTTGAAACCACCAACCAGATAAATAATGGCGAAATTCCCATGATTTTCCCTGAAATTCCCCATGAACAACCAACATGGCGGTTCCCAAACCTCCCAGCCACAACGGCGCCTTCATACGGCGTCCAGCCATCTGCCTGCAATGCGGTCAGCCGCTCCCGCGGCACGGCACGGCGCGTGGTGGAAGCCAAGAGGAGGCCGTTGAAGGCAGTTTTATGCTGGATGTAGACGGGCCTGGGAGGTACCCGCATGGAAATGTTGTGGGGATGTCGGGGGTGAAATTTCGAATGAAATTTAACAGATATGAATATTAGAGTGTTGGAGGTATTCAACCAGGATAACTTGGGGTAAACATATCTCAAGGAGCTAGATGGACAAAGCTTCAAATATATTTCAAATAGCCAGCAAACGATTGGATTTGTTGGAATTAATTAGTAGGGATCCAAGGGGGTTACATGGCTACACACTACGCCATACAATACGCTCTACACTGCGCTTTTGCAATACGCATCCATACACTATACAATACGCTACACCATACGCTGTACAAGTATATATAAGTGAGGGTTTGAACAGCTATACAATAGGCCCTGCAAGGAGGATCACCCAACCCAATGAAACTCGTTATAATCCAGTCGTACAAGTGAGCTAGCGCTTCATGGAGGATCAGCTGTAAACCCCATAAACCATCAATCTACCGGCACAAACTTCAACAAACACGGGGCCAAACTTCATTGGATTAATAGTGAGGTTGCCCCCTCATCCGTTGGGGATGCTGGCTCGCTACTCCGTCCACGGCTTACGTACGGCTCGGTTTCGGCACGTCGTCCTTGCTCTCTTCTTTACATTGATGAGCTACTTCACAATAGGTTGGTTCAGCATGGTTTAGGCATTTCTTGTGCGAAGGCCGAAAGCGTTGCACCAAAATATGTGTTTGCAAATGGATTTTTTGAGCTGGCAAACTGACACGCATCGCAGCATCCTGTTTTTTGCCGTGTCCCATCTACATGGCTCTTCAAATGCCAGAAATCCTCACAAGTCCTGAAGTTTTCTTTTCCTGATGGACATCTCAGTCTTTACTGGTTTAGTATTGTTCAAGTTCCAAATCGAAACATGTCCAAGAAAGTTGCCAATCATCCAAAATTGGCAGCCAAGAAGTTGTTTTAAGACGGGTCCGGGTACAAGTCGAAAATTGGGATATCACGGGTTAACACTCATTGGTTACTGACTAAGCACTAATTGATCAACTATCACACTGGTTACTATATGCTTAGGCGATGATTTATAGGAACAACAGCTGTCCAACGTCCTTCCACTCCCTCGGCGCCACTCAGGCCAAGACATCCCGTCTTCCAACGGTGGAGCGACAGCAATCTCATGGTCGGGCAGCAAGGCTAGCCTTGGCGAGCGCAAACCGTGACCTTGAGGGATTCTTTATAAAACGAGCCGTCTATAGATGATGACTGATTGGTGGTATACCTACCCCTCTGAAAAATATGAAAGTCAGTTGGGATGAATATTCCCAACACGTGGAAAAATAGAACGTGTTCCAAGGCGCTAACCGCATGATCTAAATTCTAAATGAAGTGCTGTCAAGAAACATTGGTTAGACCTCTGGTATCTTATCTGACTTGGCTTCTGGGGAGAGAGGATGCAGGCCGTTACAGTGGTGAGATAGGAATACTGTAATCATCTGTAATCCATCAACCCGTTTTCAAGCCGCATGAGCGGATGGATTAATTCCTATTCAAGAAATGCACATACGGGATTAGATTACAGTCTGGTAATCAGCTGGTTGGCAACCCCAATTAAATTCAAGAAGTGGGAATCTATCATCCCAAATTTGAACTCACCAAACAAATGGATTTGCCTTATAGTAATCTAAGTAGCCAAACTTCTTTTTACTTGGAGAATTTGGGTCCTTCCGGTGTGCAATAGCCAGGAAACTGCCCATGAATACTTCAAATTATTGATAGATGATGAAAGCTGATTATGGATGATTATAGATGGATTATATTATCAAAATATAAGAGAACACCAGGAAACATCTGCACACACACACACACAGCAACATCGCGATGCAAAGATGGTGGGAAAACACGGATCCGGACTCGGCCCGATTTGGAACCTGCTTTCTGTTCAACTGGCTCCGGTCGATCCTTTGACGGTTGATTCAAGATTAGAACAAACCACCCATCCACCAACTATTCACCAAGGTAGTTTACCCGACGTGGTCTGGAATATCTTCGGCAAGGGCAAATATCTTCATGTTTCCAAACCGAGTGCAATTTCATGTCCAGCTGCTCTTCACAGCCGATGTCAAGATTGACGCCAAAACCAGGACCTGAGTTGATGCCAAGCCATCTTCGCTGGAGAACACATGATAAAACTAGTACACAAATGGCAATGCCGGGAGGCAATCACAAAAAATGGTTGGTCAGTGGGCCTGTTTACCAGTGTGACTAATAGTAAACCACTGTTTTGGGTCCTCAGCGTCTTTGTGTCACCCTACTGGGTAATACTTGGTACATACTCATTGGGTAAATACGCCCCAGACATAGGCCAGTAAATTGGGGTTGTCACCCATAGTATGGGAATGGATAGGAGAAAGAACCACGTGAACACAGAAGCGATACAAGGATGTTTGGCATGAATTACATCTCTGTAAAAGAACCTCATTCAGGATGGAAACTCTTGAAGTCCAGGAAAATATTCGAACGGTTTCTTCCTCAAAATCATGCCCACCGCAGCAAAATGTACTTTGAATCCCATGACACGAATCGCTAGTGCAAAAAGGGCTAGGAGTTCTAGGTATTATCCCAGGCCAGCAGCACACTCTGTAATATGACCGGCAGTCTGGCAGGACATTTTGCTTCTGATGTACATTGAGCTGCCTTACATCGCCTTGCGTTGCCTTACATGCATAGACTCATGTAGGTACATTCGTGTAAGGACTACATGTGTATGAACGTAAGTGAAACATAGACAAGTAACAATGCACGGTGATATTTTAAATGGGCTGGAATACTGGGTCCATCAACAGCAGCCCGCCAACCCTTCTTTGATGATGACGCCTGTGAAATTTCAACGTGTATATAGACTATTAACAATCTGACACTTTACATGGGGTGAAATATTGGTCTGATAATAGCAGTCCACCAATCTTTCCTTAGTGGTGATTCCGTTCAAATTTTGAACAACTAGAATCACTTCAGAATTTCCAGAAAGGGCATGATGGGGTCCATGAACAGCAGCCCAGCAACCCTTCATTGATGATGATTCCATGCAAGTGTTGAACCGGTGAATTATTACTCCTCCAGTATGATGTCGCTTGAAAGGTCCACGGGTATATTGCCAACTTTGGAACTCTAAAGATCCTACTGAATACCTTAAACAATCTTTTTCGTCATCATTTTTCCCTGCGCCTACTAAGTGGATATGTGGATATTTAAGGTATCAGTTTGATTGTTGGCCAGTGATGCCTTGGAACATTAGCCTGCACGATTTACCTATATCTTAAATGCAGGCCAGACAAATTAAAGAAAACACCGTCTGTCTATTCTATTTATCTCATTTTATTTCTCTCCATCGCCCTCTCCGGGAGTTCAGCATCTCGCTGTCTATTTATGCACTTGTTTTTTTGGGATTATTTATTAAATTCTCTATTTGTTCATTTGTTCCTATGTGTCTTCAAGATGTCTGATCCGCCGGATTTTCTTCAGAGAGCTTCGGGAGGTTGCCTTTCAAGGACCATGCAAATTTATGGAGCTATTGTGCGACTGCAATGAGGTCAATTTATTTGACAATGATATACACAAATGCCAGGAAAAAAACATACACCAACACTTCAACACGTAGAAGGAAAATGGTCTGAAGTGTAACTGAAAGGAGAATGGCCTACCCTTTCCCAACCCAAGGGGATCCAAACAGAAGACTTGTTCGATATCATATGTGCAAAACATCGTTCCAGGCAGGAGAAATGAGAAATTGCAGGGAATAAGCATGTGGGAATTCCCACGAAAGGGTCCAGAAGGTATACATTGAATTTTCTGCGGCGGCAAGTAAATATCATATTGTGAAATATTGTATGCTGACGGCATTCGTTTACGTCAAGAAGACAATCAATGACCAAGTTTAGCACATTCAGTCAACTGAGAGAATTCTTCGCGTGCCCGGCTGGTAGACAGAAGGGATTTCCATGGATTTCCATGGATTTCCTACAAAAAGCCAGGATTTCCTATAGTCAACCACGTCAGATTAGCAGGCTACAACCAAGTGGCGTGGCGGTCCAGCAATCTTTGCACTGTATGGTGTCTGCCTTGGCCAATCTGCAGCCACATTCCACAGCACAGCGCAAAGGCGCAGGGTCAGATGTTCATGGATAGAATGGGGAAGTCTCCATGTCATATGCCCATTCTATCCCAACTATTTCCCATGATATCCCATTTTCACAAGTATCTATGCACATTCATGGGACGCAATGGGAACAAAGGGAAGCATATAATGGGTGGACCAATGTCACCGGGTTGTCCCGGGCAACAAGTAACTGGGAGGCATGGTGGAAAAACAAACATGACGGCAGCAACGAGAAACACCACACGATCCCAGGGTAGAAACTACGGATAGCCAATCATGAGTCCTTCATCTTGCAGTGCTTTGTGGAGCCACTCATCCCACAAATATGATGCCCACAGGGCAAATCAGATACACATGAAAAACATGCGCCTACCTATCAGCCAGCAACCAATCATACACCTCGACTTTGCAAGGTTTATACCAACCGTGCTCGTGCACATCTGCCAGTGAAGCAACGTCTTTTTGTTGATATTTTGAATCGTTCTGATAGCTATGTTTTGTGTGGGAAATCAGCCCATTCTCAATGGCCATTTGCCTGACCTACGCAGGGTCTATGTCTGTCAGAAAGCCCGCTCCAAATCTGGCTTTGATACTCGTGAATTACCTTGCTGTACCACTTGTGTTTAAATACGCAACATGTTCCTAAATTTAAAAACGGCCATTTTTGATGTAAGAAAAATATGAATCACCAGCGCTTGGATCCATAGTCCTAAAATATTGAAGACAGTTGTATGAACTTTCAATTTTGATGCTTACGTGGTCACATGAATCGGATAATCGGGAAAATCTGGGTGTTTGATGGTTTTGGGTTTGTTAGCTACAGTTGGAATGCCCTTTTCTTGGAAATGCATCTGTTGATGAGTTGAAGTCCAGCCACTCCTGGCAGTCGCCTTGCCGAGTAGCCCATCGGCCACCACATCCTTCAGCATCAGCACACGGCGGATGGAAGGCGTCCGCGACAGAAAAACACGGCGATTGCGCCGCATGCGTCGCACGGCGTAGACTGTCAACTCCTTGGAAGGTGGACCAATTATAAGTTGGTTTGTAAACCATAGTAACTATAGATATATCTACCATAAATCCTAGCTCTTTGCTAGCTATAGGGCACCACATTGTTGGAGGGTGGCAATACCAACCAATGGTTAGTTGCGAATCATCCACAGGCATGCAAGTTTCTGTTGGTCACATGCGTTTACATCAATATTTTTGTGTTGACGTGTGCCGAGTAATTATTGATTGCCTAACACCACTTCTCAAAAAATATGTTTTGCTGGTCTGGTTGGTGGTTGACCTACCCCTCTGAAAAATATGAGTCAGTTGGGGTTATTATTCCCAATATATGGAAAAATAAAAAATGTTCCAAACCACCAACCAGTGGTGTTTTGGTTTGCGGAGGTTTGGACTCCAAAACCCACTGTGAATCGCCACTCAGATCGCCAGCTAATGACTGGCTCGCAAAGTTTTTTTACGAATCATCGACCATGACAAGCTGTTCTATATCAACTTTAGTCTAGTTGGGGTTTCAAACGGATCCAAAAATGGGGTTCTTCGGCAAGGCCTAAGCCTTGCAGCTTAGATATTTAGTGTTACTATACTCCACTGCACTGAAATGTCTTCAAATCAGGATGAACTACCCTCTGGTAAACATAGAAAAAAACTATGGAAAATCACAATTTTTAATGGGAAAACTCGCTATAAATGGCAATTTTCAATAGCTTTTTGTATGTTTACCAGAGGGTAGCCAAACCAACAAACTTGACCATGCCCTTTGTTCTTGTCACAAGATTCGGTGCCCACTTCCACATCATCATCAACCAGCAGCATCCCGCGAGCGTCCTGAGCACCAAATGATATCTCGGTTCAAAGTTCTCACACCCGAAGCGAAGACAGCAGTGAAATGGCTGCCCCCTCACATAAATATTGATGTGTCTGAAAATTTGTCTGAAAATTGACATCAAATTGCAATTTTATCAGCGAAAATGATGATTACAAGCGGGTTACCCAAATATTGGTCGATGGAGATCACCCCAAAAGGAAACCAGTAGATATTGCAAACAAGCAACCAGCTACGGCCAAGATATTTTGGCCCATCCATGCTACGCAGAGGCAGTCCATCCCGGTTTGGCCTTATAGATCCATTTAGAAAAATAATAGCCAGCATGGCCCCACCAAAACTAGGTTTGTAAGATTCTCTTTCAAAAGCATGGAAACTGTGTGGGTGCCCTTTTTTAGGTGGTCTAAGTTGCCTTGAGAATCAGGATCTCCAAATGTCACAGGTCACCGTCGAGAAACAAAACCGAAGTCAATCACTGCCACACGATCCACCACTGCTTGGATGATGCCCTGGTAAGGAGTGAGCCTCAGGAGTCGGCATGGAATTGCTGCATGGCTGACGATAGATAGATGGATAGAGCTAGAGCTAGAGCTTGCTGCTTAGCTAGGTAGCTAGCTAGATAGCTAGGTAGCGGGTAGGTAGCTAGGTAGGTAGCTAGGTAGGTAGCTAGGTAGGTAGCTAGGTAGGTAGCTAGGTAGGTAGCTAGGTAGGTAGCTAGGTAGGTAGCTAGGCAGGTAGGTAGGTAGGTAGCTAGGTAGCTGCTAGCAAGGTAGGTAGCTAGGTAGGTTGGTAGGTAGGTAGCTGGGTAGGTTGGTAGGGAGGTAGGTAGCTAGGTAGGTAGGTAGGTAGGGAGGTAGCTAGGTAGCTAGGTAGGTAGGTTGGTCGGTAGGTAGGTAAATACCGACATAATCACACACACATATAATATATATATTTGATATATATATATATATAATATATATATATATATAATATAAATATTTATTTATTTATATATACATATATCCATCAAACAGTTCAATATATTCGTTTCTAGCATGGTATCCACGTTTCTTGACAAGAAACTAATCCATCAATCTTGTCTAGTCAGATCCAGCCAAGACTTTTCAGGCGTGATCCAAAAGCCTGAAATCAGGTAGGTTTTCACTTTGGAAGTGCCCCTGAAATTTCGCGGCGCAAACCACTTTACATGTTACCTACTGATTTCGAAAGATTTTAATCATGGCTGGGTCCTGCTTTTGCGTTCAAAGCTATGATTCACCTTGGGATTTACAAAACCGACTGCGGCTCTCTCCCTCTCTTTCTCTATCTCTATCTCTTTCTTTCTTTTTTCTATTTCTCTCTCTCTCTCTGACTCTCTGACTCTCTGTGTATTTTTGTTTGTATATATATATATATCTATAATAAATAAATAAATATATATATATATATAAGTACATTTATCTGCTAATTTAGAATATGAACGTAAAGATGTTGCAAATATATTCGCAATGAATTCCCAATACAGTTTAATGACGCTTCAACCCCAATTTCATTGGTGAATCACCTTTTTTGATGATTCCCCTATTATTCCCCATAATAATCCAGAACAACACCCGCAAAGCCTTAATACATCTTATCATGCAGTGGGGGAAACCATCTCTTTCCTGCAGATTTCCCTAAACATCAATCCTTGGTGCAGCATGCCAAGACGCCCATCTACAATCAGGTGCTGCTTGGGTTTCTTGGGCTTCTCGAGCTGTCGAAGCGATAGGTTGAAGCGGCCCGAGCGCCAGTGTTGACCTTGGGATTTCTGTGCTGATAGTAGACCCTTGGTTGAGCATACCAAAAGATTTAGACAACCCATGCTATAAATCATGGGTTCTTCACATCTATGTTCGTCTACGGGAGGAGAAAGCCAACAGATTCATATTGTTGCTAGTATCGTTTAGATTCTGCACAGAATAAAGATCCAACACAAATGGGATTTTGTATCATTGCTGTGGCAAACCAATGCCACACACAATCCGCAATGACTTACCAAAACATGGGTGGGTATTAACTTTCAGAAATTGAGAGTTGATGTTCGGAGTTACGACATTATTGGCATCATTAGATATCATCATCACAATGACTACTATCCTAATTTCAGTGATACTGTAATAGTCATGAAGACTCGTGTGGTACTGACGATGATGGTGATCAGCAAAATGAGCGATCTTGTTGAAGAAGCATGGGTGCATAAACCATGGTGGCAAAAGCTTTGAACGCGTTTGGGGACTAGAGAAATCTTGCCCATCCTTTAGTGAGATTATCAGTTTCGGTGCCAGGCCACTCGTTGCATAGACCGTCAGCTGGTCACCGATGTTGAATTCTGTTCCCTGTCACTACGGGCTGATGACGGCTGCTTATCAGTGACCAAAAGCAAGGCCAACATCTCGGAAACAAACATGAATCATCACATGCATGGCTGGAACGCCGGCCACTTGTAGATGAATTTCTAGTTTCTAATGGTGCCTTCGCATTGCTATGTGAGAACGCTCGCTGGTATACGATTGGGTATTAAATTGCTGATCACCCTTGCAACCCTAATGGTAGCAATCAGTATAAAGCACATCAAACGTCTTGAACCCCAAACAATTGATTGAGAGCAAATAGTCAATGAATCATCTCGGGTTTGCTTGAAGAACCACAATAAAACAGACATTCCCAATAGGTTTCAAATTTCTTGTGGATTAGCCACTTAGAAACATAAGCAACAAATCATGAACGGAGCCCAGGGCATGGTTCCCAACCACCCTTTTGCAGCATGTACCAGGCAGCCGAGATGGAAAAACATCGCCGTGGAAACTGCACTCCGAAAAATCGGAACAGGTGGGACATGTCAAGATCCAAATCATGCAAATCCTGAAACTGAACCATACCTACGCCAACAACAGTATACCGTATAGTCATAAGAGCCCGACATGGGTCATCTTTACATGGGGATTATCAATATTTCCCTAAGGACTCGCTTCCGCTTCGGGCCGGCTAGAGCTGTGTTTTCAACAACAAACCAGCCACTTAGGAACCGTCCATCAGCTATCCATCATTGTCAATCAATCTTGGTTCAGCCCCTGATCTCCATGTGTCATGCTTCTTCCATCCGTAAAATTCTTGACTGGTGACTCCAACACATCTAACAACAAAAGTCATTGGTTATTTTAAACTACCAGCCAGATTCATTCTTCAAAAAGATTTATTTTCCGCCTGAATCAAGTTGAATCCCATTAGTTTCAATTCCGGTTTTCCTAAAATTTCGGGTATCCCCAAATCATCATTAATCATCCGCTTTAGTAAGATTTTCCATTAAAAAATATCCAGCTTTCCTAAAATAGGGGTATCCCCAAATCATCATTAATCATCCGCTTTAGTAAGATTTTCCATTAACAATTATCCAGCTATTGGGGTGCCCCCAGTTTAGGACACCCCCGCTTGAATCCCAAGAAAACACATTAAAAACGCCCAAGAGTTCCCATGGCCCATCGCGGCCTCGGGAAGCTCGCGCAGCGGAAGGAATCCCGGCCGTTCGAAGCCTGTGCCATGCATGGGCGCCGTAGCCTTTGGATAAACGATTGAAGGCCTGTAGCTTATCACTCAATAATACAAAAGGATGTCTGTATATTTTTTGAAAACTTTCTCTTGGCAATAAACCTTGAACAAATAGAACAGCACTTATCATCATTCCAAAAGGAAATCGGGGTTTGAATGGGGCGTATTAAGAAATTCATGATAATCTTCTGATTGGCAAAGCCTCCCCATTTTCCATCATACCATATGCGAAAATGTTAATACTTGTGTGCGGATCAGCAAAAAAGACAAGTTAAAAGCTTCAAACATGTGAAAGCAGAAGCACACCGGGGATGGACAACAGAAACATATTTCGGAACCAAAGCAAGAACCAAACATCTGTTGTGGTGAAGCCAAAAGTAAGCCTTCCAAAACTCACCAGACATGGATACTTGATTTCATTCAGTCTGCCAATTGTGCAGGCAAATTGACACAATTCCCAGGTCAGAAAGGAGACAGAAATAAGTATTGTGCATTGTGCACTCTTACTTAACCTTGTTAAACAACCTTTTTCACTTTCAGATTGCAGAGCAGTACTGCACGAGTCGGTCCGTGATGTCATTCTCAAGGTGAGCAATGTCCAAGATTTCCGCCCGCTGCAGTTGAACATGTTTGAGGATTTCCTGAACAAAAAATCAACGATCTCCTTGCCTTTTAGAATCAAAAAGCATACAGCACACCATCGTCGAAGTATCATCCTGGTTTCACACTCTTCGGCATGTTTTTCGAGATGTTGGGGCTGTAAAACCGCTAGAACTGATGGTTTTCTGTCCCCAACAATCCAACCAACTTTGAGGCAGAAGCTGCCCAACAAAATCTGCTAGTCAGCTGTTGTTCTGTTGGATAATATGCAAGTGAGGATAGATAGTCAAAGCATTCATGGTTGGGTCGCCTGGGGGGATAAACCACCACGAGTTCCTAAAACTTACCCTCTGGTAAACTAACATAACTATAGAAAATCACTATTTTCAATAGGTATATATAAATGGCCATTTTCAAAAGCTATGTTAGCTTACCAGAGGGTACCCGAAACCCTGTTTTTGTCCCTGGAATCTCCTGCAACCGCTGCCTACGTCAACGAAGTAGCCGAAGTCTGCAATGGATGACCTGCGCGAGGATCGGCAGCTTGGGCCGGTGCTGTGCACAGGGTGCGCATGTATACATATAAATATATAATTATATTTAATAAAATATGATATTATAGAAAAATAAATGATATAATAGTACATATTATAATAAATATATATATATATATATGTGTATGATATAGTTGATAATATATATATATATAATATGAAATAAAATATATAACATGTAATATGTAATAAATAAATACATATATATAGTAAACAAAAATATAAAAACAAACTATATATATGTATATATATATTGATATAATTCGGTTAACTTTTTGGCTCAGGGTAGATATATCAAACTAGTTCACCAAGCAGATGGGTTGTAAACCACAACTGGGCTAGGATCAACTGTGCAGTAGCTTCAAGTGCAAGTTACAAGATGGAAAGACAAGTCAATGTTTTGATGAGCACGAAAGATCCGAAATTACCACCATCTCATTTGACACATGCAGAAATCATTGGCGGGTAGTCAGCAGCATGAAAAGCAACCCTTTAGATCCTTTTAGTAAAGACCAGCTAAAAATATGACAGCTGGACGAGGTAGGTTCTGCTCTGCATGTAAAATCAACCATCATCGGGCCCCCGAAGTTCATAGTCAGACATTGGGTGACATTCCTGCAGTAGCAATGAAACCCGATTCCACATTTTACCATTTGTGGGTATCTCAAACATTCTCAAATCATACCCCAGCTGCAGGGCCATGAGCTTGAGTGGGACAGGGTACATTTTATCACGCCATGGGCCCCTTGCTGGCGGCCATGCAAATATGCAACAATTCTTAGAACCATCCATACTAGGTTCTAAATAATGAAGCGCAACCCACTTCCTAACTAGGCCGACTCTACGCAATTGTGTGCTATGTGGTAAATCCAATAAACCGTTCCAGTAACCAACCATTCGGGGGTCATTTTACATCATCCCAAAAAGTGGCATTCACAAAACAAGCAAGGGGCTGGTCTTTTTTGGGTGCACCTCATCAGTTGTAACCAATTTCAGATCGCGATGGCTAATCTTAGCTACACTGAAGAAGCTTTTTAGCTTGGCAAAAAGTTCAACAATTTATGGCTAAAGAATGCTATTCATGAATCACGGTCCAACTTCTCTTCTCCAAGGCCTCTCCAAATATATACAGTACCTGGTAATACCTTTTTTTCCTTGATGCAACCACCAGTTTTACCGATGAATTCTTGGCTTTCCGCTCCAGATCTTGGATTTGTTTGGGGGGACAAAATAACACAAATTCCCAATAGATTCCCCATTTCGGGCGCAGCCAACATGAAGAAACATCGGCTCAGAAAATCCAGGAAATCCCACAGTATCCACTGTGCCACTCTGAGGATTCGACACGACTCCTGAGTACGGATGTCTGCCGTCGCACTTCATGCGGAACAACCGCTGCGATGGCTCCGCGGAGGGAGTTAGCGCCAGGTTGAACTTCCTGCATTGACTGTGGATGGGGAAGCGCCTTGGATATGATGGTAAATCCCTAGCTGGCATTTTAGGATTGTTCAGGGATAGCATCTGGGATAGTGCATATTTAATCGGAATCATATTTCTCTTTAATGTGTAAGCTGCAAGATGATGAATCTTCTTCTTTGCACGGCTATGTGCTTTTCTGCTCTATCTTATCCCTTTTGGGGATCTTGAAACGAATAACAATTGTATATAAATAATTGTTCATGAAACTAGCGGAGGCCAAAAAATGGGGCATGAATTTCTATCTATTTGGGGGCCTTGCAATCTACCGGGTGGCCTCCAATAATAACATACAGAAGCCAACTTTCAACCGTCAATGCCTGGTGATTTCTTTGATGTCTCCCCCGTTCCTTTATGAAACTGGTTGAAAATGAAGGGATCAACCAACCATACGCCAAGCGGTTTTTCCAGCATGTTCCAAGATGTAGCTCCACATTGCATGAATAGATTATCTCACATGATGGGGTATGTGGGTTTTGGCAAACATGAGACACACCAACAACAAAACACTGGTGCATTGAAAATCTGTAATGTATCAGCTGGTGACAAAAGTCCTAGTACAGCACCCCCTTGGTTTCAATTTTGTATATATCGTTTTCTAGGGAATATGGCATTGTTTGACGCCGCTCCGTTCTAACAGCTGTTGGGGCTTTCAAAAGCCTGGTTTCACCCGGTGAACACCGGACCGCTAGTCAGCCCAGCAAATAGTTTCTGTTACTCTATTCTACCGCCAGAAAATCACAACTTCACACACACTCTCGTTCAAAATGGATCAAATGGTTTGGTTAGTTGGTGGGGAGATGCGGGGGCACAATCTGCAGGATAGATTCTTTTCAACTACCTTCTGGAAATCTAACCTGGCACTGAACCCCATTTCGCTAAACGTGTGGATTTCGCATTCCCATATTTGATTTCCAGGGGTGAACCATTGACAATTCCCAGTTGGCAGTTTTGCAATTTCAACACCAATGATAAAATTAAACCACCCAATATACCCCATATGGTTGGAAAAAATGATGGTACCAACCAGATTAGCACTGCAATTGCCTTAAACTCCACTATTGCCGAGCTGCTGGGTGTCGAACGACTTGCTGGTGATGTATACCTTGTCCCGCTTGACGTTTTAATCAAGGATAAAACTCAATCCTCCTAATTACGGTATTTACAATGAATCTACCCATACAGGCCCCTCCACAATGAGCAAATCCCAAACTCAAAGCAGGGTTTCTGGGCTGTCCGTTCATTGCCCAAAGACAATGATGTTTCTTTTGCTGGTAGTCGAGCCAAATGGGCCAAGGAAAAATGGAAGGTATCTCCAATCTGTTGTTGGGTAAATTACAATTTTCGCTCTGGAAATTCCAAGCGGAAAAACTTTAAACAAAGTTTAATCACATTTTGTGTGGTGAAGCTTGCCACAGGGTCATTCATCTCGGCAAAAACATATATATATATAAATGTTTGGGATGATTTCCCTCCTGCCACGGCGAGGAGCTTGTGAGGCCGTTAATTTTTTGCTATGCCCTCTGGCAGTTCAACCCTTCCCTTGCACAGCAAAATCGCAATTTTGTAGATGAATTGCCTATGCTAAACCCACTAAAGTGGCAGTCGCTATGGAAAGTCATATTGTCGACAAGTAAGATAAGTAAGTCATGGTAAGTCGCCCATGTTAGTGGAACATTGTCCTATATTTTCCAAGGCTACCCATCAGTGGACCCTCCCCAATCTCCCCAGGCTCGACTCCAAGTCTCCATGACCGGCGCGCCGCGTGCCAGCTGTGCCAGCTCGGAAGCGCTGGTGGCGGACGCCTCGGAGTAGCAACGGGATTAACTATGGATTTCCGGGTATGGCCGCACCCAAAGAATAGGACAGAGAAGAAAGAAGCGGGCCTAATATATTTGGCCCAAAAAAGCTGACTGGGGTCAAACTTGGCCGTCCTTGGCCTTAAGTTGGGCCGAACAGGAGGGGCCGAAGTTGGAGCCAAGTGGGTCCAAGTTGGGGCCTTGCTGGCCGAAGTTGACCCCAAGTCGGGCCAATGTTGCGGACATGCCGGATCGAAACGGTGCATCTGGACGATTTTGGACCAATCTGCAAAATGTGCAAATTACCACAATCACATGCACTGGCCAGGGCGGACATGGGTTGAAGGTGTACCGGTCTGACAGATCTGTCCGGTTCCTTTACACTCCTAAACTAACACGCCTCGGCACCTTTGGTGTGCGGATCGACCTTCACTTCGTGTGGCAGGCGTGGCACTCATGGCACTGGGCTGGCTCTGGTGGCGCGCTTGGTCCCTGTTGGTGCCACGGCTGTTCGTTTGTGTGGCAGGCGTGGCATTTGGAAGCATCGACCTCCATTCTGTGCGGCAGGCGTGGCACTTGGTGCAACTGTCTTTAGCCACACATGCCACACACAAAATTCACACACAACTCTTTCACATACAACTCTCTCATACTTACCTCTTTCACATAATCTATCTTCCACCATCTCCACGCAACTCATACACACACTTTTTCACACACAACTTGCTCACAGACAACCTTCTCACAAGCAACTCTCTCACACGTAACTCTCTCATACGCACCTCTTTCACACAATCTGCCCTCCGCCATCCCCACAGAACTCACGCATACTTTTTCACAAACCTTCTCACAGACACAAGCTTCTCACACAGAACTCTCTCACTCGATCTGTCTTCCACCATCTCCTCTCTCTTTCCTGCCTTTCCCATCCCGTCTTCACCTTTCTTTTGCTACTTATTGAAAGAAATTGACATGTGGGGTTATCCGGTCCTTTAATTTTTGGACGCATAATCGCTGAATGCCTAGGTTGGCTGACTGAGCCCGTCCCAAGAGTCTTGATCGATTTTGCGATCATCTTTCCGTGGCTAGACACGGTTTTCCCTCCAACTCTGCCGTGAGGCAAGGTACTGGAACCAAACCTTTTTGCGCTTGGCTGATCGCGATCCTGGGCCGATCAAGACATAAGGGTGGGCACATCACTGGTGCTGATCCAACTGAAGGTATGTTCATCATTGGATCATGAACTGCTATTATTCAATGTTATTGAGCGATACAGTGGAACCTACGGCAGTCCTTCAATACAGCCATTACCCTCCAGAAAACTAACATAGCCATTGACAATGTTATGGACTATATAACATATACCTATTAAACGAAACAATTTTCCATAGCAGATTGTGGGTTTACCGCAAAGTTATCTTTTTCGAACTAGCATGGCTGCATTGAAGCATACTTCGCTTGCCCGACAGAAGCTGGCCATGTCACTATGTGTGTGGAGCCCATGCATCGCTTCGCGGGAAATGGAAAGCCGCAGGGGGTTCCGTTCAAATTTGATCATAAGAGACCAGGTTCCACATCTGGGATGCCTTTCCCTCCCCCTCCCATATACTTCATCCAGTAGCACTAACCATCATGGGTCATACTACGCAGCATCACAACAATCCCACCCCCCTATTAAACATCCCCATTCCATGGTCCCAAATATGTGGTTTCATCCCTACTTCCGCCATCTTCCACCATCGTTTCTGAGGGGTGCTTAATATGAATGGGGTATGGGATTAAACATCACTGGCCCAACAAAATTCACAACGCATCCAAATAGGAAGGGAGAAGGTACTTCCCTAAATCAACCCGCAAACCGCAAAATCGTCCTCAGAAGTCACGACTGGATCCATAGACTAGTCATTCATGTTGACATCGTCCGGCAAGATCAGCAACTTTCTTGTCCAGGAACACTGCTCCATAATCTTGCATTGCCAGCCTAAGAAACTGTCAGTTTTGTAGTAGGGCGCTGCGCCCCAAACTGGGATCAATTGGGCACTTTGAAGTGGGAACCCCATTTGCAAGCTCAAAACAAACCTGTTAACCTACCATGCACCAAGGGTCACGCAATACTCACCACCCAAAAAATGGACACCATCAATCAGCCAATTTAAGTTTGTAAAATCCCAAATTAGTTGGCATTTGTTGATTTTTTTTGCTTCATCCCTGACAAGTTGTTGGTTAGCCTCCAATTTTGGCCTGCTTTCCACCTCAGAATGGTTGACAGGAAAGTGACGTTTTCCCAGCCAAACCACTCCATTAGTTCATCGGGCTCCACCAGGTTCCTTGCCACATCGAGAAACACCACACCCTTTCGCGGGGTCACTCCATCGGCCCAAAGTCGCGCCCAGCTGACTTTTTCCGGCAAACTGTCCTGAGCCCAGCTGGAGCTGTATAAAAACCCCGTATCTGTTTAAATTACCCAAAATCACGTTATCTTTTGTTGTACTCTTTCGTTTTCTCAGGTGGTGAGCTCCCTGTAGACAAGAAGTGCGAATTTTCCAGCTTTCTGTGGGTGTGAAAGCATCCCAGGTCGAGAGTCAACGGATGTCATCTGCTGTTTTATTTTCCTTTCATCGCTGTTCATTTAGAATTGATTTCCTCTCATGTTCCGTACATTTTGCATTCAATCCATTTCCTTTCATGTTGCATTCATTTCCTTTCATTTTGCTTTCATGTCCTTTTATGTTCGGTCGCTATGTATCAAAGATATAGGTCTTCGAAAGCTGATATGCTCAAACCATCTTAAACCGGTCAGGTGGGTATCCGCCCAAACGTTCACGTTTTTTTCATATTCCGTTATCGTTTTTGTTATCGTTTAGTTTAGCTATCGTTTTGGAAGCCTGTGGTTGCCATCTTCAGGCTTCATGAACATGTACATGTATAAGCTCGTTTTTGGTTTTTACTCTTATCATTTTCTGGGCCGGCAATGCATTGGCAGTGCTAATGTGCTGCCCGGGGTTATTATACTATCCCAGCTGCTATTCTGCGTGGTGCGGCCGACAAATGGCCATCCGGCACGCGCCGGGGCGGAAGTTTCAAAAATAGGACATGTTTATAGGAGCGAGTTTGCTTATAGAAATTGTTGGTGAGCTGGAAAGAAGTGAATTGACATGAATTAAAATGAAATGAAACGAATGAACGAAAGGACTGAATGAATGACTGACTGACTGAATGAATGAATGGAATGGACGAATGGACGAATGAATGAACGAATGAACGAATGAACGAATGACTGTATGGAGTGAGTGAATGAATGAATTAGTGAAAGAATGAATGAGTGAATGAATGAATGAATGAAGGAAATTAATTAATGCATGAATCACTGAAATTTGCAAACTTTATCTTCCAAAAGTGCTCTGGCGCTGTCAGATTTGCACGGTTTCTATGTGAAATCCAGCTCTCGCTACAGTCTCGTGCGCATTTTGCCGACCTCATCTTCCAAAAGTGCTCCGAACGTGACAATCTTTTACGATTTTTGTATGAAATCTCGCTACAGTCTCGTGCGCATTTGGCTGGCCTCATCTTCCAAGAGTTCTCCGGCACTGACAGTTAAAAAAAAACAAATGCAAATCAAGCTCTAGCTACAGTCCTGTGCACGTTTTGTCGGCAACTTTTGCTGATCGAAGCCCGCAACCGCGGAAACAGAGACCCTACTTCGGCGACCACGGAAGCCACTTTAATTTAACCGAAAAAAACACAGAGTTTCGCGCCCGAAAGTCTTGTCAAGCCCAACTAACTCACGCTTTCCGGACCCGTTACACTTCCCAACAACTTGATGTTGATATGGTTGACATGATGATGTGGTTGACATGATGGTGAGAATGCTGGCCATGACAATCGTCCGCAACTCGGAAGTTTTCTAACTAAACTTCCTTTGATTAGTTCATGATGTTCCTAGTGAACACGTATTGAAGATGGGGTTTCCAATCGCCATCACCGTTTGTCGGAGGGCCAGGAAATGGGTCAGTAATTAGCATGGACACCACACTCCATGGCCGGTTTCAGTGAAGAGATTGGATTTTAAATTTTGTCCCACAGAAAACTTGGGTGTGGGGATGCAGCAGTGACATCGTAACAATTCAGCCAATTGTCTAGTTTCAGTGTCTCCAAATTTCGGTTGCAGCTGGATGTGTTTCTGGTTTGACGGGTCCCCCATGGTGGGCATCATCTATTTTGGCTAGGAATGCGTCGGTATCGATGCAATGTTGAAATTCAATTTTTCGGCTCGCATCTCTTCTCTGGTAGTCAGCCATGGCCAGCGAACTAAATAATGAAAGGTTCATTACTGGGGCAATCATGGAATTGTATCAAAGGTCAATGGTTCTCCAAACAGCGTGTCCACACGGAGGGGTTCTTACGGTAGGAGTTAAGGCCAGGGTTAGATCAGGGTGCGCGCTCTGACCCCCGTCATTTCCTGTAAATTCTCGCCTAAAATTGATCTTGGGAGCTGTTCAAATGCATTTCGACTGCGCAGGCTCGCACAAAACGTGGGTCCCTTTATTGGGACGCGGTATTTTTTAAAGAGTTCTCGCATGAAATTTCTCTTGTGAGATGTCCATGTGCGTTTCGGCTGTGCAGGGTCGCACAAAGTTTGCTCCCCGGGGTTGTCCATTGGTCCCGATCTTGGGGCGCGGCATTTTTCCTGTAACTTCTCGCATGAAATTGCTTTTGTGAGATGCCCGTGTGCATGTCGACTGCGCGGGATCGCGCAAAGTCTGCCCTGTGAGGTTCTCAAGGCCTTGGTCTGGTACATTTTCATTGTAAATTCTTGCATAAACGGCTTCTTCTAGCAGCAGATCTTGTGGAGATCCAGGTGAGGTCCCCTGTAAGACGTTCTTGCATGAGGAGCTTGCAGATGCTTGCAGATGCCATGTCTTAGAGGTGTGAGGTGCTTGTATCAAGATCTTGTATCAAGATTTTGTACGATGCACTCCCGCAGCAGCAAAGGTCCTTCCATGAGGGTCTTGTGAGATTCGCTTAGGGGTCCTGGCATGAGATCTTGCTCAAGGTCTTTTACAACTCCTTGTGTAAATATCCTGTGGAGATCCTGGTGAAATACTTTCAGAGGCCTTTGCATGATCTTGTGCAGGTCCTTGTGGGAAGCTCTTGAAGAGGTCCTGCTGGCACCCTCTCGGTGTATTTGCGTGGTCTGGTGGGGGTCCTTGTGAGGAGACCTTGTGCAGATCCTGTTGAAATCCTCCTCCAGGGGTCCTTGCATTAAGATCTTCAAGGTCCTCTGCATTGGTGCTTGTCTGAAACTTCTTCTGGGGTGCTCATACGAAGTTCTTGTATGAAGATCTTGTCAGCTCCCCTATAAGATCGTTTATGTTGCAGGTCCTCCTGTTGCAGTTGCGGTCATGCCTCACCTCACCTGGTATTGTTCCATAGCTACTGTTGCTTGTATCTGGTGCATTGGCTTCCTACCCCCCCACACTGTTTGGGGTCTCTTGCCGGTGCATTTTTTTTCAGCAAACCATGTTTGACGATCAAAGGATATCCAGTTTTTGTCAATAGAATCCTGCTTATTTATTGTCCCACTTTTCCGGGTTGTTGTTGGTGCAGAGCTCTCAGAAACTTTCAGGCCTGGCATTAATTCTTGGGTTGCCAAGAGGCCAAGTTCGCTCCGTTCAATTTGGGCCAATCACCTGCAACAGCGATGAACAAGGACATGGCCAATCTGGGCCCAAGGCCCTTGAAAACAAAGGGTGCGGCTCTTGGTGGGAGTGCGCTATTTGGTAAGTTATTTAACAATGTAGCACATAAGTCACTTCAAACTTTAACATAAAATTGGCATATACACATTACATTTTTCAAAAGTGTGGCGTTCCTTTAAGAAAGTACTTGATGACTTCATGGAATATAAACTAGAACAATGGTGTAATGCTATCTTCCTTTGAAAAAGAAATGGCATTCATTCATTTGGAAAACAGAGCAAGTTTTAAATGCAGTTCACTATATGATGTTATATTTAAACATGTGAATTGTACATGTAAACACAGTATTCCTTTCAAGGTGCGTGGTATTCCGGTGAAAAAGTAGCCTTCAAGACACACAGCAGTCCTGGTGAAAGAGTATGTTTTCAGTTCTTGTACTAAAGGGAGCCCTTTCATATATATATATATAGCAATCCCCTTGGAAGAGGGTGCAAGGTATTCTTCAATAAGCAGTTGCACTTTAAGAGGCCATGGCATTCTGTGAGGACAGCACGACATGCCTTTTGCAAGTTTCCTTGAAAACGATGTGACAATTTTTATTCCTGTGAAAGGAGGGTTGCGCTGTGGCAGGAATGGCGCATCAACGCCTTGGCTCTGGTGGTGCAGAAGAGACGCAGCATGCCAAGGGGGACCTCTTCTGCATTAGAGACCTTGCTGCTTGTCCTTCTTTGCACGCTTTGCAAAGGTACCGCAAAACTCCTGCGGAAAAAAAAACAACCGCTTCTGTGTGCTTCGGACCTCGGGGCGGGGTACTCCGGCGTTCCCACGCACCCGACACTCTCGTTGCCAGGTGTGAACCTTGGAAATCATACTGACAGCTCCGGAACTTGCCCAAATGCCAGCAAAAAGAATTCTCTCGGTAAGTTCATACTCAAATCTTCTCACCTGGCTGCATGGCAAAAAGGATGCGCCAGGGCCTGGGCGGCCGACGGGCGCGCCCCAGGACGCTTCCAAAAACATTGGAAGGGGCACTTTGGCCAACCCCGGCGACATCAGGAAAATTAGGGGTACTTGCCCTTAAGGCAAAGGTACCCCAACGCTCCAGCTGTGAAGATATCCACCTTTCTGAATATCTGCCGCTCCAAACCTCGGGCGCAAGGTAATCTGGAGTACCTACACACCCGAGGATCTCGCCGCCCTTCGTGAACCCTGGAAATCATCTGGAAGAAGGCCCGGAAAAAATTCTTGCTCAGATTATCCCGGCAGCTCGGGGTACTTGCCTTAAAGGCGGAGGTACCAGCACGCCCGCGACACAAATGTGCACCTTTTCAGTGTAGCTCGTGCGGACCCCCGGCGCGAGGTATTCGTGTCCAATCTTCTCGCGAGGTGTGAGCCTTGGAATGGCAGGAGCTTAAAAATAACGTTGCCCAAACACCTGCTGCAAAAACCATTGGTGAGTTTACCTTTGCCAAACCATGCAGAGAATCCATCCTAATTTTAACCAATTTATATTCAAAAATTTACCTCGCAATCACGCGATTACATCATACAGCCCGACAGCTCGCTAAATGGTTGAATAAATTTGTTTTAAGAGCTCATCGGACTGCATCCAAGTTTCCCTGCATCAATTCTCGATGTTTTTTCGGCCGCGACAACCCATCTAAGACCATTAAAATTGAAGGTCCAGGCACGCCATGGCAGACGGTGTGGCAAACATAGTGCACAGGAAACAGACAGCGGCGGGCGACCGTGGAGATGGAGCCACGAAGAAGGCGGAAAGTTCGAAAAAGACGGGACAATACATGTGAATGGGACCCGAGGTGGAAAGGAAGCCTGAAGTTTTGATTTGGTCTTCGTTCTTTGGAACAGGTGAACTCCATGCTTCATCCTCCGAGGTCGCCCCCGCAGTCTCCTTGCGCCGTGCCCTTCGCCGCCTCCGTTGCCATGTCCGCCATTGCTCCACCAAAAATAGATTCCCAAGCAGGACCCGCCAAGAAACAAAAATTCAGCCTATACAAAGACGTTCTCTGAGAAAATTTACAAAATCGCCTCCTTATTGATGTGCTTCGGCACCTCGCATGACCGGCTTGACCTTGCTATGAATATCTATGAATTGCGGCATTCAGAAATTTACCTCTGGAACCTGCCGAATCGCATACGGCAGAAATCATTTTGACGTTTCTCCGCGGAACTTGAAGAGACGCAACCAGAAAAATTGTGGAAAGGCAAGCCACAGAATCATTCTGAAGCTCACCCGCTGGAACATGCCCAAACGGAAACCACAAACATCATTCTCAAGCTCACCCCATGGAAACCTGCCCAAATGTGAGCCACACAATTTTTTTAAATAATTAATTCTAAAGTCCACACATTGAAACTTGCCCAACCTGCAATTCCACAGTCTGAAGTTTACCCTGGGAACTTGCACAAACGCAAACCATGGACAACATTTTCCTTCATCATTGACTTGCCAAAGGCAAGTGCAGAAATCAGTCTGGAGTTTACCATTTGGTAATTTAACATAGCTATTGAAAATGGTCATTTATAGATGATTCGCCCATTAAAAATGGTGATGTGCATAGTTATGTAAACGTTTACCAGAGTTGACCATTGGAACGTGTGCACCAGCGAACTCAGTCTGAAGTTCACCCGTTGAAATCCGTCCAGAAATGACTCTGAAGTTTGCCCACTGCAACTTGCCCAAACGCAAAACACTGACACCATTCATCACCATTCTGAAGTTCATCCACGGGAAAATTATCCGAATCTGTTGGGGGTTCTTGATGTTCTTGTGAAACAGTTCATTCCACTTCAACCAATTCTGCGATGAACAGTGCGAAAAAGTTCCACCCAAGAACAGTAGACATCACGTGATAGCAGGTATAAACACTGTAATGCAGTAAGTGGCTGACAAGAATGGATTAAGCTTGAGATCCCCAAGCTGCTGACTTCGGCACATACCTGAACTTAATTCATGCCGCCAACAATTTCCACCTTCATCACCTTCAATATCCGTGTATAGATTTTCTTTCAAGCCCAATTTTTGGGGTTTCCACGTTTTCAAAGTGCGTCCCACACCTCCTCCGCAGGCTTTCCCCCAAGAGTTTCAGCAGTACGCCTCTCATTTCGTCTCCACCAGTGGAACCAAAGCACCGCGTGGCGTATTTAGACGCATCCAAATGAAGCTGGATTTACATACTGGGAAGAGGAAGTTCAAGAATTGCGCCACAGCAGGATCCAACAAGCACTGCAGCTTGAAACGGAATGAAGCACTGTTGCGCTGTTGCACGGCGAAGAAAGGACGGACACACAGGCAGTCAAATCTAGGAATGTCATACCTATTATATACAATTGTATATATCAAAAAATATATATATATATATATATAAATAATTATATATATATACATGTGGTTGTGTGTGTGCGGACCCAACATATTATCCACAAAAGCCGGTATATTGGTTGAAGCAAGTTGCATTGCTTTGCTGATTCCCGCTCTCTTTTTCAACAATGAATGCCTTTGAATATGTATGAGCTAATAGGCCTCAGGCCTAATCTTCTTCATATTCGGCAAGCCCAACGCCATTTTGATCCCCAAAATTGGGCACACCATAATTTCATAGACATTATCGCTGTTGGGGCGGGTTTGTTGCAATTGTCCTATAGTTACTCCAAAGTTTCCAATGATAGCAATAAATCATAATAAAAAAATCCATATTAACCCATGTAAATCCATCGTTTCCGTTACTGTAATTTGCCCTATTAGTGGGATAGATTGCCTGATACCCACCTTCTATCCCTGACGGCCTGGCGCAGCGCTGTGTTGACTCGGCGTCGACGTCAGCGTGACCGTTGCAGTCTTGCGCCAACGAAACTTCACACCTCCAAGAGTGGTAGTTGCAAAGTCTCACCGGAAAAAAAGCATGATATATCATGATATATCAACAAATGGAAGTCTGAAATCTGAATCTCTCTGACAAGCCTTCTGGATGTAGCCAACAGTTTAACTCTGCTATCCAAACTCATGTCACCAGCATTCTGGATAAGCCTGATTTCACCATGGGCTCCAACGGGCCCATCACGTATTGTGAGGTTGTGGGGTCTGCTACTGCTGAAAGCTTTCATCCAGGCAGCGAGGAGCAGCAACTTACTGTACATTTCGTTGCCATGTTTGTTTGCCTGGCCTCTAGATATATCCAAACATGCAGGGGCGCCGGTCTAAGGGACACCGAATGCACCCACATGCACCATATACATCCATGTACCAAAATCTAAACTACCTGCAGGCTCAAAAGTCCGCAGCCTGTCCCACATCCCAAACGAATTTTCGGGGTTATATACCCAGTAGTAGTACTTGTTCTTCTCGTTGTTGTTGTTGCTGCTGCTGCTGTTGTTGTTGTTGTTGTTGTTCAGGGAACATGTGCATGTTTGGTTGGCGGCGATAATCCAGCCGGCTGCATCCTGTGAGCTGCTTCAATCCACATCATGTTGATTCCGGGTTTCATGTGGTTAAAATTTATGTCATTTTTACTACAAGGTGGTGCCCCCCAGTTATAAGTTGGTTTATAAGCCCATTAACTATAGATATATCACCAACAAAAACCATAGTTATTGGAGTTATTGGAGTTATGAACCAACTTAGCTATCGAACGGGGGCACCACCTTGTAGCCATGACTGGGAATGGTCAGTTTATATCACAAAAACTGGTGACTGGGATCTCCAAGGTTTCGGTTGCAGCGAGTGGGCTTTGGAAGGATCTCAACGTTGGCGCATAGCGTCGCAGCATATGGCAGGAGTCCGGGGGGATATTGCGGATATTGGTGGTGCAAAACACCAATAGGGTGAATGAGCATGTCATGTGAGGCGTTAAAACAACATCCTGAATTAGGTTTAGCATGGTTTAGCTACCCTCTGGAAATTTAACATAGCTATGGAAAATCACCATGCTATTAATGGGAAAATCAACTATTTCTATGGCCATTTTCCGGTTCGCAAACTGTTAGTTTACCGGAGGCTCTCTGATGGTTGCCGCGCTTTCGGGTATGGTTTCGAAGATATCACGGGTTGTTCCCAACTATTTAGCCTTGGTATTTCCACTTGCAATTTCCAGGAGTCATCCAGTTTCCGGTATGGTTTCGAAGAACTTATGCCCGTAGACCAACAAAGTTGTATATAATTGTATAATATTGTATATGTATATATATATGTTGGGGTACAGTACCCAGCTTTAGGTGCTGCAGATCTTGTCAGCTGCCTCCGAACATGCTAAGTTGGGTTTCAATTGGAAGCTTGAGCCCAATGCCTGGCTGCATTGACATTCTCCGCACTTTCTTTCGCACAAAATCATTCTTCTCATCAAGTTGAACTCAATTCAAGTCAATGGCTGAGTTTGTTTCGTGTAGAGCGCACCAATGTGACCAATTGCCACTCACTTTGAGGACAGCTTCCCAACTGAAACTGTTGCGTCTTTTTGGCATATCCGCTGTGCCCCACAAAACCATGACCTTGCTTGAACTCGGATTCTTAGAATCAGGAAACGCCATAAGCCGAAGCTTCCCTATTGTCTTGATAAAAATTTTGGGTCTGGGCCATTCTTTCTGATGGCTTCTTCCAAAAAAGTCACCAAGTCCGAGGCTCTTGGACAACAAATGACCCATGATGGTTCAAAGTTCTTGGACGCTCAAGATACTCAAGATGTACATTTTGAAAATTAATGTCAACCCCGGATTAATAAACCATGGTTTATGAAAATTAGGGGGCACTCCCCAAATCGTCATAATCTGATACTTTTTTATGGTATCCCCCCAATTAAACAACCTAGGGGTTTATTAATCCAGGGTTGACATTACACAACATTTTAAAAACATTTCAGCACCAGAAAACTTGGCGGTCCACACCGGTCCATAGCTCTACGATTTGACCGAGACCCAAATTCCTGGCAGTTGCCCCCTTGAAACCTGTGGCTTTGCCATGGGTTCCACTGCTCAGGCGGCCCTGTGTTTGAGGTCACCGGTCAGGCTTCGGAAAACAATTTGATTGTGCAGAAAAAGGTGGATCGTTTACGGACTTTTCCTCACTTTCTGGATTTTGAAAATACACAATTAAGTTTTAAACCAGTTGTCATTTTCCGAAAGCTGCCGCAGCTACCAGTTCCCGCCACGCTGTAGTGCTACTGATCAAGGGCCTCAGAAAAGCCAGCTTTCCGTGGAATGTGCATCAGTAACCTGGGATCTCGAAGACTTCACAAATCACGACCTGGATATTTTCAGGTCTTCCCAAAAAGAGATGTACCTTTGGATGTAGCAGAACGCAGCTCATTTTAGGATGCTCCATGGTAAATTCCAAAGGTTCATGTCAAAATGGGCATATATGCGGCTTTGATTGAGAGAAGGGCATGTCCCAAAATGGAAATAAGTTTCAAAACATGGAATGCCCCAACTTCAAAGCACCTCTATGTGGCTAGAAAGCTGACAACCACCAGAAATGGGCCGATGAGTTTCCAAGCATCGACTACTTATGACTACTTTAGGGTCTTCAATGCTCTTCATGACAATTTTCAGGGGTTCGTGTCACTAAGCCCATCGGGTTCGCTTACCCATTGGGTTTTCTCAAAATAGGCAACGCAACGCTCCAGACTTACGTACCATGAAAAAGAATGGGCTACCCTCTGGTAATTAATCAAATATGGCCATGGCCAGGGAAAATCCCATTTTTCCTATGTAAATACCAAGTTACAAGGGGGTTTCCGAAGCATTACATTCCTTTGGTTACCAAACCCACTTCACTGAGGCGCATCTTCATTTTTGTTGGTTCCATCAATTAATAGAAGTCCATAGAAGATTGGCCCCGATAAAAAAAACCAAGTCAGTTTCCAACCCCCATTAACTATACCTAGTTTTATCATGTTTTATCCTTCAACATCCATAAAGCCTAGTTAAGATTGCTACCCTTCACCAGTCACTTGGGGCACAAAGCCACCATTCTGAGGCCGCATCTTTGAGCTTCGGCCTTGCTGTTGCAATAGTCCTGGCACCAGGACTGCTGAGCCTTCGGCTCGCCATGGAAAAAAAGAGAAAACACCATGCAGGGAATTCATGAAGACACACGTGTATATATATATATGTGCATTATATATATATATATATGTGTGTGTATACAGAGGATATGACAGTATCTAACTGTATTCTTAAAACATTGTATATTCATCCTTTTGATTCCTTTCTTTATATTTTTTGTGGCCGACATATGTGAACATGTTGCCTCTTACCCCATGGTCCTGCAAGCGTTCGGCCCATTGTAGCGGCATTCGCTTGCCGGCCTAGTGGAGGATCATCCGGCCCATCCCCATGCACAATGCTCCGAAACCGTGGTTCATCATGTGTCATCCAAAACTGGTTGGTGATTTATGGTGATTAAACCAGCCATGAAACCAGCCATTATTAATGGTTAATGTTTAATGGCTATATATAAGTCTGATTGGTGGTATACCTACCCCTCTGAAAAATGATGGAGTTCGTCAATTGGGATGATTATTCCATTCCCAACTGAATGGAAAGTCATAAAACATGTTCCAAACCACCAACCAGAAAATTTCTGAAATGTCATGGGCCAAATCATCCCATGTTACTATGATGCTTCCCATTCTGAAAGTCATGTCTGGCACCATCCCATTACTAGGGGTATAGCCACCAGACCCAAATAAAGCTTGAGATTCATTGTATGGCAGTGAGGGTTTCAAAGTTATGGTTTCAATCTGGCTTTCAAAGTTAGTACTGCAGAACGGCGATTTTTTGGACCAACAAGACCGATTTTTTGGACCCAATCCCGTGTGGTAAAGCCATGCTGCTAAGCCATCCCATGATCCCAAAAAAACCGTCACCATTTGGGATCATTTTCCATCCCAAACAAAGGTATACCCAATAAGAAACCCCAAACGTGATTGGGGATGGTTTGTGACAGTGGGTTTACATGGCTTTACCACATTAACTACATTTACAAGTGGAGATGTAACTATAGATCACCATGGTTTTTCGGTTACATCCCAGCTTAAAGGGCTTCATTTCACCATGGTTATATATATGCTTATACCAGTTATACCCATCAACTGCACCTCATCACCATCATTTATAGATTTATCAGGTGATTTTGCCAGCTATACACCTCCATTTCTATCGGATTTTCCGTAGAAATCTCCAATTCTATAAGATTGTCCTAACTATAGACCTCCATTGCTATCGTTTTTTTTCTCCTATGGTTTTTCCTGTGGTTTCTCCATATTTTCTCCATAAGTTCACCCATCTCCATGGATAATTCTCGGAGTTTCCCAGCGATTTTCCCATGGAAAAATCTCACCCATCCCTCAATGGTCATGACGAAAAGGAACCGATTGATTGGGGGTACCGATTCCATATATTTTAGGCCTATATATATCAGGAAATTTCAGGGGATATCCGTTCCCGATTCATATGGCGCTTAAAATATGGTACAGTACGTTTACGTACCTCCATGTATTGGATCCTGGAATTCTATGGAATTCTCCCATCCCTGGTGTCTGTCCCAGTGCCGCGACGTCGCGACGTCGCCTTCTTCACGAAGCCTTGCACCCACTGCGGCACTGAGCCGCCCAGGTCGGTCTGCGACACCCCTCTGAGCAGCACACCTTCCAGCCATGCGGAGCCGAAGCTCGGTGCCCGGGATTTTATGGAGTTGTCATGGGAATATAAAATAGAAAATAAATGAACATCATGAAATGACATGGGAAATCAATGGAAATCATATGGCTTACTTTCACCTCATAAAATGGGAATTGGGAATATAAAATGGGAATATAACAGGATTAGAATAGGAATATCATGGACAATAAATGAACATCATGAAATGACATGGGAAATCATGAGATGTACCAAGGGAAATCATGAGATATACCCACAGAGTTATGGTTTGTTGGTTTACTTTCACCCCAATGACTTCTAGGTGTTGTGACATGTTTTCACCATAAATCCTTAATAGTTCCGGTCATCAAAAGTAGTAATGGGAAATCGCGATATCAATGGAGTCCGATGGAGGTTTCAGTGGGAAAATCATCGAACCGAATGCTGGAGGTTTCTTTGCCCCGGTTTGATCACAACATCATCAAACCATTAAGTAAATCAAGGTTACCCCCTGGTATATAATTTAACACAGCTATTGAACATGGCCATATAAATAGTGATCTACCCATTTAGAAATTGTGATTTTCCATCGTTTTTTTGGTAAACGTTTACAAGAGGGTATCCCAACTTCATATGATGTGACAGCCCTGCCTCCATGGTGAGGACGGAGGATGTACCTGTGAGCTTCAGCATGTGCAGAGTGTCATTGCATGTCATTACCAATGGCAATTGATGGGATGTTTATCGAATAGTATATATAATAAGGTAAATTGCAATTGATTGAGCTTTTAATAAGAGTATGTATATATATATATGTATATCACTATATGAAAGTAACATGATTGCCCTGAATCAGCTCATACAATGCCGTATTCATCCCTGTTTCATGATTGAAATTTCCTGTTTGAATATGTTATTTTCAATTATTTTCAGCGAATGGAAGTTTGTGTTGAAATCTCGTTGACAAGAAGGCTGGCTGAGCGTGTAGTCCCAGTTCTTGTGGCTTCATGTCGTAAGCCCAATGCCATAAACCTACCATTTGAGGATGTTCTTTTTGCCATCCATTTATACTATTCAGATGGTTGGGAAACTCTAAGTAGCTCCCCTATCTGGCAGGGTCTATGTATGTCTATGT